AATTAAAGTTCGAAAATACAATTTCCTACCTATATTATTATTTACTAAATACAAAGAAACTTAAAAATAAACAATATGATTATTGATTACATACAGAGTAGGTATACCTATAATATATTATGCATGGAAAACGAAGGTTTATTTTGACTACCTACTTATCGTGTACGCATCAAACACATAAAAGAAATAATAACAAAAAACTTAAAAATTAAATACACATCATAGTAAAATCAAAATATTCATCGCTCCTCTCAGAATCTAAAATATAAATTATAGGTACCCGATACAATTAAATTAACATATTATTATTAAATAATAATTAATAATTTTGTGATCAGCAATATTCGTAGAAAATGTTAGACTTGGAACTTTACAAATCTAGTTGGTATTATGGTAGGTACTGTAAATTTGATGTACTTAGGTACTGTATATGCGTTTATGTTAACTCTAAAATCCAGGAATCACATTTTCATTTAATGATTTTTAAAATACAATATTATGCTTTTATAAAAATATGCTTGTACTTCTGATATATATTCACCATATTAATAAATAATTAAATTAAGAAACGAAAATAATAATTAAAATAATATAGGTATCATATTTAATATTATTATAATTGAAATTCAAAATTATATACACGGAATTCTTTGATATAAAAAGTTACGTTACCTATATGATATCCGTGGATTCATCATATTGACGTACCTAGTATAATACATTTATACCTATCTATCGACTATCATTTATATTCCATGGCAAATCTCAGTCATTGCAGAAGACACAGTCATCATTAAAAATTCTAAAATTTCAATAAGCAAAGCAGATATGAGCAAAAAACTTACTGCGTTCCGTATAATTTTATTTTTCATAAATCACAATATTTTAAGTTCTGTATTTTGGAGATTTTCCTCGTCAGCCTCGCAGTGAACACACGTCACGGATTCCGCCGAAAGAATCGATGTTTAAAGTAAATTTGTTTTCATATTCTTTTGGGGCTTAAATTTACTTTTAAGGAATTAAGATAAATATTTAATGTCACGAAAAATGTGTTATTGTAGACGCATATTCTTTGTTTTAATAAGTAATTTCTTTCAAATTCGAACTTATAATGTCTGTAAAATTTAACTGTGTTTTTAATTTATTATTTAGATTTTTTGGTTACAGTATGAACTATTTATGCGAATTCTTGTTTTAAATTTTCAATCCTTAGCAACGAAAGTTGAACATTTTATAAATTTTTATTTACAAATTACTATTTTTAAGTTTTTGTATGGATATCTTACACCAAAATATTTCTGCAAATTGTCAAGATTGTGGTAAATTTCGTAGAAATTTGAACTTTAAATGCCTATAAAACAAAACGTGCTTATGTATTTCTAATATTTTTTAACTTCTATTATATTAACTTACGAGGAAATTTGTACATATTATTTTTAAGTTTTTGACCCGACGAATGAAGTTTTAATGAAATTTATAGAATACAGAACTAAAAACATTTCATAACTCAAATGTCTTTAATAAATCACTGAAAACGAGTCGAAATATTTTGAACATTTTATAATGTATAGAAAATGATAGTTTAAACATTGGATGGACATTTTAAATATAGACGGTTAATAGTTGTTGAATAACAACAAAATAAGAAAATGGTTTTACAAGAATCATATACACATTATTGTAAAATTAAAACATTCATTGCTCCCGTAGTCCTCTCTAAAAAACAAACTAACACATAATAGTTAAGTAGGTATAATACAGATTAAACATTAAACATATACAATTTAATAGGTATCCGTAACGCTTAGGTCATAAGAATATTGTTGACATTTTACTGCAGGCTGCGTATTATTTCAGAAATGGTATTTAACTCGTCAGTGAAGATTTGTCAACTGGGAATAATATATCATAAGCAGACTGAAATGTGTGACTTTGCAGTATTTCGAAGACTAAGTTTTATAGCAGATTTTGATTCGGACACGGGGTATGTATTTTCTTATTTTTCAGTAGGTTTCTATTTATTATAGTTAATCAATCAGGGTTGTACTGCCCGAAACTTTTCAATTATTTGTATTGTAACTATACTGGTATAACACTATTCTGGCTATCAATAAAGTCGTGATAAAAATTATTAAATTGGTCAGGTATGATCTTTTTTGGTATGTAAGTACTAATTCTTTTGAGTAGATAATTCGTTCAATTATTTAAATATTTTCACCGATAATCAAGTACGATGACTTGTAGGTAACTAGAGACTGAGTGAATAGGAAATAGGAAGTGTATGATGTTTCGAAGATAAGGATTTCATAATTTTTGGCGAATGAAAGGGAAATGTGAAAAAGAAATGTTAGGTTAGGGTAGGTAAGTGGAGTGAGAGTAGCAGATATGAGAATGTCAAGTTGACTGTGAAAGGGACAAAAGAGGATGGAATAAGATATTGATTAATTAAATGTAGTGTATAGGAGTGACATATATATTTAAGTGAAAACAAGAGAGACTAGGTTGAGGTGGTTCGGTCACTGTATGATAAGTGGTAGTGAGAGAAACTAACGGAAGTAAATGTATTTTAAAAGTGAGAGGTGAGAAGACTGATGGGTAGATAGAATACCGATGATATGGAAGTGCAGGAAAAGAGGGCGGCTGAACCTGTATAGTTGTGTGAGAAGGGGGAAGAAAAAGTGTGAAGGTAGAATAGTTAGGTTGACAATACCGAATACGTAGGAAAGGATCTCGAATTGCAAAGGCCACTCGACTTTTTGGCTGAAACTACCATCGGTAGGTTTACAACCTAGACTTATGGGATAGAATAAAAAGATCGGTTGGTTGCTGGTTGGGATGTCAGTGCACTATTTGTTTCCATCTTTGACCCACGCGAGGTAACATCATAGGCGCTATTGGGGATGAGGGGGGGGGTCTAGGGGCGGGCTTATAGCCTAATAAAAAAATTATGCGGATCTGTATTGATTTCATGAAGTAGCCAACGCGTACTACGTAGCGAAGTACGTTGGCTTTTTTATGACAATTTAGTTATTATATAAGTTATGACTTATTAGCGTGTAAATAATTAAAATTTAAAATGCTTATAAATAATTAAGCTAATTCAAAGACACACAAAAAAATAATATTTAATGTCTACTAAAAAAATTACAATATATATATATCTTAATAATTAATAAACAGTTGGGCAACTATTGCTTAAATGTCGGTTGGAGACTGTAGTCATCACCAGCTAATATTAATCGAAAAGTATACGTGAGGGCGTTGCCCTCACACCACTATAAAAATATTAATTTGAAAATATAAAAACTATAAAAAAAAAGAAATTTCTTATTTTCAAGTTTAATTCTTCACAATAATAATATACTGTCTATACCTAATTAAAAAAACAAAAATTAAGAGTTACAGTTGAATTTTAAAAAAGTTTATTAATTTATTATGAAACAATTGAATAATTAAATTTTTTTGTTTTTTGGGGAGGGGGTATTACAAGTTTTCGGGGGTTGCGCTTATGATTGTGCGTGGGTCAGAGATGGAAATAAATAGTGCACTAAAAATATGACGTCCCCTTAAGTGTTATCAAGTTAAGGGGGGCGGGGGCGGGGGGGGGGTCACACCACACCGTGTCGTGTAAAATAATCATGGTTACCACAGTTACCAAACGATACTGCATAGTTGAATATATGTGTATCGTTTGGTAACTGTGGTGACCGTGATTATTTTACACGACACGGTGTAGTGTGAACCCTCCTTAAGAAGCTGTTAATTGTTGATATTTAACAATAACTGTGGTAGTGGTATGATTGGAAGTTAAAGTAATAAGCAGGGCTGTGAATTGAATGCATTAAAAAAAAAAAAAATGCACTAAAATTATTCGATAAAATTCTCTATAAAAAAAGCCATTATTAAAAAACTATTGAAATTAATAAATACAAATTATAAATTATAATGCCTTAACCCAAAATATAGACATTGAATTTTGTATTTGTACAAAAAAAATAAATGTTTGATTTACATACTAGCTAGGTGACCAAAAAACATATAATAACTTACCCAAAACATTAAGTTACCTATATGCTAAATAAGATTTCATATTTAAACTATAAATAAATCAAAACATATTTTGGCCGTATCCATTATATTATAGTTTATATACTGGGTATCAAACAAATATGCAAATGCATTTAATAATTAATTCACAGCCCTGGTAATAAGTAATGATTTATCAGCTGTATAGGCGAAATTGGGGTGCAGTGAGACTCGTATTGGTAACGGACAACAGTGTTGCAATAATACAGATCTCCCAAAACTACATAAAAATACTTCAAATAAATCATTAAGCAAACTTTATTAATTAATATTAATTTATGAAAAACTATAGGTAGTTATTACAAAGCATTATTATTATAAATGAA